AGTTGATGCCTATGTACATTGATTTTCATATTTTGCAATTTTTTTCACTTAATATGTTACATAAAATTGTTAAGTAGCAAATTGACGAAAGTGGAAGTAAATATGATTAATGTGTGAACAAAAGTAGATCTGCAGCAGAATATAAAAAAAGAATGATTATGTGATGATTTATTTCATATTTGAAAGAAATATGTCCAAACTAAAAAAATAATCTTAGGAAAATTGAACCTAACACATATTTTCTTGAATTGCCACATGACATATATAAAATTTTTATTTTAAATATAAAAGATGTAATGGCATTTAAGGGAAATATGTTACTTTTGGAGGCTGATTATTTTGCAGTTGGAGAAATCAATCAAATATAAACGAGTATTCAGTTGATATCTTTGCATTGGAGTACAATCTTATTAATGCAATATATGTAATGACAGTAGAGGGCATAAGTTTCAATGAGATGTAAGGACAAATCACCTATTGATGGCTATGTAGCATCGACATTCCTTTACAGGTGACTTACGGGTGTCAGACACATGTTGAACACGGACACGGTAATGGTTTTGACATGCCTTGACATGTGTCTGACACTGCAAAAAATGTATCAGAATTTTTTTCGGGCTTTACACGTACAGGACATGATAGACATGTCATTGAACATGGCTGAATACTGTATGCGGATCAAGGGGTCATGGGAGTAGAAAATTATAATTTAAACATAGCCTTAAATTTACTTGATTTTTGAATCGAAGCCGCCTCCTCTCGTGTTGTTGCGTTGAAACTCTGTCCACCAAAGCTGATCGTTGAAGCATGCTCCAACATTCGTCGAAGCTGATCGTCGAGGCACTCTCCAACATTTGTTGAAGCTGACCGCTTGTGGAATCCGGGCACACTCAGATAGTTTTCAAAGCCAAGGTATGTTGAAGCCTGTTGTCAAAGGTCCCTATTGAAGCAGAGCGTCACATGTCCCTGTTTGTTCATTTGTCAAAGCCACAAGTCGTACTTTACAATTAAAACATCTGTCCCTGTTTGTTCATTTGTCAAAGCCACCCCACTAAAATCAAAGCCACAAGTCGTACTTTACAATTAAAACATCAAAGCCCATATTCTTCCTTTACTGCAATTTTAAATTTAAATAAAATATTTGAAAAAAATTGCTACTATGAAATAATATAGAGGTCAAATATCACATAGTATTAAATGAAGTTCGTTTAATACTTTTTAATTGACATTGAAAATTGCAAAATAAAAAAAAATCAATTCAATTTTATATGTAATATTTAATTAAAACATGTCATATTTAATTGTATTATGTTTAAATTATTTAGTTAATATTTAATTATCAAATTTTTTGTTTAAATGTAAATTGTGCATTAATGATTCCAAAGCTCACACCAAAAAATCAAGAACGCCGTGTGTACATGTAAATGACACCACTTTAGAAACTTAGTGAACATGTAAATGATAATATGCAAAATCAAGAATGCAAATCATCGAAATCAACTTAATGCATCCCAAGTGTTCACACAAAGGTTGGGTCAACACATAATGAGCACCACGTTAGAAGAAGTTGT